AACCGCCCATCGGAACATCAGATCATAACGCCATTCATCTTGTCACAACCTACAAACAGAAGCTGAAGTCGGAAACACCTGTTATCAAGCAGGTTAAATCATAGACCATTGAGTCACTGGATCAGCTGAAAGGATGTTTTGAGTGTACTAATTGGGATGTTTTTGACGAAGCATGTAATACTCTGGACGATCTAACCAACGCAGTCACAGACTACATTAAGGTTTGTGTTGATAATAGTATTCCTCTTAGGACAATCAAAGCTTACCCTAATAATAAACCCTTATAATAAACCGTGGGTCACAAACGGGTTTTAATCTTTACTGAATGAAAAGAAACGAGCATTTTGTTCAGGTAGTATTCACAAAGTTAAAGAAATACAAAGGTATATTTTATGTGAAACAGCAAAATGTAACGATGCATATAAATGTAAAATTGAAAAAATATTTACCACAAACGATTTGAAACATGCTTGGCAAGGACTTAAGTCTGTAAGTAATATTAACAAAAAACAACAGTGTGTTGATGTTCAAGATAATCTTGTTTTTGCTAATGAATTGAATTCGTTTTATGCCAGATTTGACAATCATGATTTTACCAATGATATTAATAACATGTATTCATCTTTACCCTCATCTGATGACATAGTAATATCAAAAAAAGTGATGTTCTGTTGTCATTTAAACAACTCAAAGTAGGCAAATTTTGCGGCCATGATAACGTACCTTGTATTGTTTTGAAAGAATGTGGAGAGCAACTATGTGTCATATTTCAGAAGATGTTTCAATGATCAGTTAGTTCAGTTGTAATCCCCACACTCTGGAAAACTTCCAATATCATTCCTGTTCCGAAAATGAATAATCTTGCCGTAAATAATGACTATCGTCCAGTTGCATTGAAATCGATAGCCATGAAGTGTTTAGAACGGATTATCATAACATTGTTACTTGATAATGTAAGTCATTTGGTAGATCCTTCACAGTTTGCATATTGACAAGGGCGTGGGACGGAGGACGCAACATTAACCCTCCTGCAAAATATTTACTCTCATCTGGAGACTTGTAACAACTATGTAAGAATCCTCTTTATTGATTTGTCTTCAGCCTTCAACATCAACACCATCCAACCACACCTTTTGATGATTAAACTGTTTAATCTAGACGTAAATAGCAACATTATCAAATGGGTTAAAGTGTTCATGGTACATAGAAGTCAGTATGTCAGTGTCCATCGGCTATCAATCTTCTTTTCTCTCAACCTCCACTGGAGATCCACAGGGCTGTGTTCTTTCACCCCTACACTTCATTTTGTATACCAATGAGAGTTACTTGGCATTAAATGACGTGTTTACTGTGAAATTCGCAGATGACGCCGCTGTTACTGGCCTAATTTCTAATTCTGCACATAATTATCATACCATCAAGTATTTTTGTTCAAGGGATTGGAAAATTTCTATCTTGACAATTTTCTCTTTCTGAATGGAAAGAAAACTAAGGAAATGGTGGTTGATTTTCGGAGAAATAAGGAACCACTACACCCTGGTATAATTGATAATGCAGAAATTGAAAGGGTGGACCATTACAAATATCTCTGTGTTAGTTTAGGTTCAAAACTTTCGTTTTCAAAACACATCGATCACATTTACAAAAAGGCCAACAGGGACATTATTTTCTTCTCCGCTTAAGAAACTTTTCCATTGACAAAACCATTATGACCGTTTTTAATCAAACCTTTATACAAAGTGTGCTGACCTGCAACTTTTTCTGCTGGTATGGGGGTCTGTCTGCTCGCAACAAAAACAAACTTTTCAAAATTGTTAATACTGCCAGCAAACTTACTGGTGTGTCTTTCGAGTATATTCCCTTTATGTATGAGTGCCAGATTGTCAAAAAGGCAACGAAAATTAGATTTGATAGTACCCATATTTTATCTCACCATTTTCAACTACTTCCATCTGGACGCCGCTTTCGATTAACTTCGCTTAAAACAAACAGAGATCGACAGACCTTCATACCATCCAGTATTCGTGTTATTAAAGCAACAAATGATTAGGAATAGTCACCTTGCATGCGATACCTACTATCTTAGCCTTTTTACATATGTGGTTAATTGTCATCAGTATTCTGTTATCATCAGCATTCATTTTGTGCATGTAATTATTGTGTATATATTTGTGAAATTGTATATATTCATTTTGAGGCCGTATTGATACAAAAAGAATTTCCTCCGGGATAATAAAGTTTAATCTTATCTTATCCAAACTTATATTTTTAACCATCATTTGATCCTTGTGGTGATCCGGGTTAGAGTTGACCTCCAGCAGCCCATCCTTGCAACTAAACACTATACTTGTTGGAAGAGGCTATTGAGAAGATAGGGCTATCAAGTTTGCTGACCTGGTTGATGGGTGTCACTGTATCAGAGGTATGTAGATTGATTTTATGATGTCAATTACTGCATGTATTGGCTGATGCAGGTACTATTATGTTCAGCCAGCTGTCT